AGTTGCATTACAAAATGCACGTTCCAAGAATTACTGTGGCACCTACATCCGTGTACAGTTAGATCTCTCACTAGTGATAAGTGGCAGTGCCACCCACCGCCAACGTAGCTTATATATGCCTGAATGAATACACAAAAGGCCTTTTGAAATCAAAATAAATACATCCTGATGTACAGCCTATAATGTGCCCCAGGTCTAATATCACTAGGCCTACAATTGTAAAGTTGCACTTATAGTTCTGTTTATAGAGGACTGCAGTTGTTTTATTTTTAAGATGATCATTACAAATGGTTAATTAAATTAAATTAAATGTAATAGTCAAAATTAACCCTGAGATATGGATCATGTTTGAAAGTCCCTCTCCAAATGAAGTTGTGAAATATTGACCTCTGAATAGAAATCCAAACTGATAAACAATAACAGGAAATAAACAGTGTTGTTATTTTTTTTAACACAGGAAGAGGAAACAAATTCAAATCAAACGTTATTTGTCACATGATTTGTAAACAACGGGTGTAGACTAACAGTGAAATGCTTACACGCGGGTGTTTTTTTAACAACCCAGAGTTAAAGACAAAAAATAAAAAATGGAAATAGTGACACAAGGAATAAATACACAGTGAATAACGAATAACAATAAAGAGTAAAAAATAACATGGCTATATACAGGGAGTATCAGTACCGAGTCGATGTGCAGTGGTACGAGGTAATTGAGGTAGCTATGTAGATAAACTGTAGGTAGGGATAAAGTGACTAGGCGACAGGATATATAATAGACAAGCTTGTCTTTTGTTTTTTTCTACAAACACTTTGTTTTGAAAAATTGATTCTATTTCTCTGATGAGGGGTTCAGAGCAAAGATCAAGCTATATCATCCAGAGGAATATAGTATTGAACTCATTAAGGGGGTAGTGATTGAATAGTGATTAGGTTTGTGGCAATCTTGTTTCATGACTCAAACAGACAGTAATGACTGTGACTCATTTTATTGAAACCCACTCGCAGTATTCCATATTCCGTATTCTATATTCCATTGCCCACCACATAAATGTTTGTGTGAAATCTCAGCCCTGTCACCGGTTGTATTGTACTGTATTGTACTGTACTCTGAGGGCCTGGTTGGTAGAGTGGTGGGGAGACTGGTGTCCTAAGGCCATGTCTGGAACAGCAGAGTTTACTGGTGCAGGACAAGCCCAGCTGTCCTCTTTACAAGAGAATAGCCCCCTTCAAAACACACAGGCATGGACACACACGCACACACACACACACATGCACATGTGCACATACTCACTCTCTCTCTCTCTCTCTCTCTCTCTCTCTCTCTCTCCTCTCTCTCTCTCTCTCTCTCTCTCTCTCTCTCTCTCCTCTCTCTCTCTCTCTCTCCTACTTGAACTCACACACTTACAAAAGTTATTCTCAGTCCCCTCCAACAGCCCTACTACTACACTATGAGCTAAACTATAGTCTAGAACAGTGGTTCCCAACCAGGGGTACTAGGACCCCTGGGGGTACTTGGCCTATCCACAGGGGGTACTTGAGAAGACTCATGAGACCATAGGCTTACTGGTAAAGTACACATGAGGGGTTACTTCAGGGGTACTCTGGGCAGAGCAGAATTCAGTTGGTGGTACAGTAACCAAAAAAGGTTGGGAATCATTGGTATAGAACAGGTTGTTCTAACTCTGGGGTCATGATGCTGTAATCTTAAGGGCCAGTCAGTCAGGAGCAACCTTAAAGTCGCACATGTATTAACTGCTCCTAGCATTCCAAGGGTTCAGGTTCTACCCCTGCCTCGGTAGGAGGGGGGTAGAGGAGTGGGGGTGGGGACCAGCCGGCTGGCTAACATGAGGGCCTGTCCATCAGCAGACTACATGATTTCCATTTAGAATACCAGGCAGTCCTTTAGATTATAGAACACATGCTGTTCTCTTGAGGCACATAGGGTACATTTCAGGAGCCAACAGAGAACTCTACAGGTGGCATGTGAGGACTGACTGTGGTATGTGTGTGAGGAGAGCCAAATGTGAGTGGCCAAATGTGTAGAACCAAATGTGTACAGCTAAATGTTACATTGTATATTTTTGTGGAATACTTTGTGTGTGTGTGTGTGTGTGTGTGGGTGGGGCAGATATCCTCTTATCTCACCAACAGTAGTCACAAGATGAACAAGCCATTTCCTCTAGTTTTTTGCCAGTTTATTGCGTGGGTTACCGATTACATGAGACTGTATATTACAAGGAGATGGTTAACATGATCAGGGGCACCCTGAACAACAGGATGTCGCTGTAGCTTACAGTCAGGAACAGGTGGTTTCAACGTGACACTGAATCACTCACTGTGGTTCAAATTATATTTACGATTTCCCGCCCATTGGCTTCGGCGCATCACCACATCTAACTTAAGCTCCAAAAACTTTCCCCCAGTAGCCTTTGCACGTTTTGTCGTCACATGCATTTTCACTTTGGTCGGTGAACCAGAGACTGAGCTCAACTGTTGCGTGAAGCTCGTGGCATTATATTCAGAATCAGCGCCCTCGCGGAAACATGACACGCAAGATCAGCACGGAGCTGTCCACGCGGGATAGGCAATGTGGACACATCGCTCCCTGGGACACTTGGATGGTGCGTAATTTTGTGGGAAAAGTAGTTGAATGCGCAATCATAACTTTCACACTTAAACCAAGTGGGTAATTTTATTTACTTTAATAAGTTACTTGCTTTTTATTCTGTAAAGTATATCAATGCAATGATACAGGCAAAACTGTCGAAGTGGTTATCATATTTCATCTTAGATGCTTGAAGAGCTTGATATTTTAGTAGTCTAGATAGATTTGTAGGCATGCCTAGAATTTATGCATTTTCGAGTTGAGTGAGATTATTTAGTTAAGTTAATTACACGCACGCACACACACACAATCTTTCCTCACATAACCTGTCCTTCAGGGTCAATGTGCATGGTGGCTCCCTCTGTCTCTGCACAATGATTGATTGTGAACAGCAGTGCATGCTTCTGTTGCATAACTGAACTCAGCAAGACAGCAAGAAGACTATACAGGTTAGCCTGGTAGAGCCAGCTCTAAGCCAGCCTGATGTAACTTCTTCATGCAATGCATGGGGTGACGGGTAGTGATGGTGGTGCAGTTGGTTCCACCAAGCAGATGCCTGTCTGTCTGTCAGTGCAGCTGTTGCATGCAGGGAAGTTAAGTCGTGGCTCCAGGTGCCGTTGCTGCTTGGATACAGTACAGTTTAATTATTTCCCTCTAATCGGGGACTGATTTAGACCTGGGAAATCAGGTGGGTGCAATTAATTATCAGGTATTACAGAAAACCAGCAGTACTCTGGACCTCATATGGTAAGATTTGAATCCCCCTGGTCTAAAGCCTTGCAGACTTGCTTATTGGCCAGATCATCAGGAGAGATTGACTGCATCACTGCTGGTCTTTGTAAAAAGTATTGACGTGCTGAAAGTACCAAATTGTCTCTTCAGCCAGTTAACACAAAGCTCAAAAAATCCATACAAACCCCACAAGACACGCAATCAAGGGTCTCTTCACTGTCCCCAAGTCCAGAACGGAGGCTTGGTGATGCACAGTACTGTAAAGAGCAATTACTTTGTTAATGAAATTCTCTTCCACCTCAGGTAACTCAGGCAAGCAATACAATCAGTAAAAAAAAAAAAGATAAAACAACACCTCAAGGAACAAAGTGGACTGTGAAGAGACACACACACACACACACACTCTAACACACTCTACACGCACCCACACATTATTCTTAGTATTATTCATTTATTTATTTATTTTTATTTGTTTTCTCTTTCTTCTTGTAGTCATGTTGTTCTGTGGTCATGGTGTTCTTGGTTTGGATTTGTGTTGCTGTTCCTGTCCATTGGTGTTCTGTATTTTGTGTGGACCCCAGGAAGAATAGCTGCTGCTTCTTCAACAGCTAATGGGGATCACAAAAAAAATCGAAATCATCATCTGCAGTGATTATTCTGAACCATTTGGCTATAACTGGCTGTATGAGCATGTTCTCTCTATCTCTGTCTTTCTCTCTGTGCCCATCCTGTTGCTCTCTTGGATTTCACTCTGAGGATTTAAAATCCTGTGCTCTGTGACAGAGTGCAGACAGAGAGAGAGAGATAGAGAGAGATAGAGGGTGTGTAAATCTGACCTTGTACTCAGTCAATGTATAAATCAGACTGATAGGACCATGCCAAGGCAGGGCACCTCCAGGTTCTGTAGCCAGCCTAGGAAGGCCTCTCCACCCTAACCCAGGAGGAGGCATGATGGACAGGCAGGGAGGGCATCAGAGAGAGGGTGGGGCTGCGGCAGAAAGGGTGAGGTTATGGGTGTGTGACAAACTGGGGTTCAAATCCCAGGTCTCCTGTGTTCCCTAAGATTGTGTTAGCCCACTGAGCTAAAACCTATGCATTAGACCAGGGAGTTAACACAAGTCTTCAGGTCTCAGGACAAGGTAACTCATCATGCGAGTGTGGTTCAGCAAACCACCTCCCTTACTAATGTAGTGGGCAGTGGAGGAGAGGGGTGTTTGTTCACAGGCAGGGGGATAGAAGAGAGGAAAATAGAGGGAAAGAAAGAAAGCGTGGAGAGATAACCGCCCACCACTCTCCTTTCTCTTCCAAGATTCTGATTGTGAAACAGCTAAGCCGTCTTTAGCCACTAGGTGCCAGATTTATTGCGCATTTCACCTGTGCAGTTTGCACCTATGGTTTTTGGAAGGCAATAAAAGACAAAAACCGAAACTAAAACATGACAGGCCAGTTTCCCGGACACAGATTAAAAACCTTGCTCAATGGAGAATCAATGGAGTGCATGGTCTCTCTGGCGATGGCCAGTCTGCTGCTGACCTGCACTCTAACCTACTTTCTTTCTTCTTCTCTACCAGTTGTCATTGAGCTGTTGGGGCGTGGTGGCATGCGATCCCCCTGAGTGAGACAGCACCCTCCAGAGGTGACAGCAGGCAGGACAGGCAGCAGGATGCCAGTGCAGGCGGCCCAATGGACAGAGTTCCTCTCCTGCCCCATCTGCTACAATGAGTTTGACAGCAGTGGCCACAAGCCCATCAGTCTGGGATGCTCACACACCATGTGTAAGACCTGTCTGCACAAGCTGCACCGCAAGGCCTGCCCCTTCGACCAGACAGCCATCAGCACTGACATTGACCTCCTGCCCGTCAACTGTGCCCTGCTACAGCTGGTGGGAGCTCAGGTGGGTACAGCACGTGTTGTTGTTGCTGCTGTTCTTCTTCTTTTTCTCATGATGATGATGATATAATAATGATGATGATGATTACGATGATGATGATGATGATAATGATGATAATGATGATGATTATAATGATGATAATGATGATTTGTTGTTGTGTTTGTGGTATGTTCCCAGGTCCTGGAGTCCCAGCCTGTGACTCTGAGCAGTGCTGTGGAGGTAGAGCACTATGAGGTGTGCAGGGTGTGTGTGGAGGAGCTGGCTCTCTATCTCAAACCCATCAGTGGAGGAAAAGGTACTAGAGCATAGAACTGTGTTGATAAATGCATCTCTGTGTGTGTGTGTGTGTGTGCGAATGCATGTGTGTGTGTTTGTGAGTGTGTGTGTGTGTGTGTGTGTGTGTGTGTGTGTGTAGAGGACCACAGCAGTTCCTGTTATTCTCAGGGTCTGAGATTATTGTGGTGGGAATGTTTGCGTCAGAGCATGTAGAAGCAGCGACACTCAGGCTACAACCAGGAAACCTATCCACTCTGTAAGGCGATACGGAACCTGGGCCCCACACACCAACACAAAGCACATTATATCAAAAGGAAATGTAATGAGCTCTGTCGAAAGTAGTTTCAGTTACATTAGTTTCAAAGGAATCATTGAATTAGATGACAAGATTAGATTAGACAAGAAAAAAGTTAATTGGCTAAATGTTTTAAAAAAAGTTAAACTAATAATATCACTTTACCATCCACCACCTTGACCTTTGGCTCCCCTGCATGTCAATTAATATTGAGCATATATTTTATTACATCTCATTCTCAGGTATACAGGACTAGATTATCTGTAGCAATTATTGCAGGATGGAGGATGGGAAATCCCTCTCCTAGGACCCATAAAGCGATGTGTGTGACGGGCAGTAATCCTTGAATCCAGTCCTGCTTTCCCATCAGTGCTTTTAAAATCCAATTGCCGTGCCGAAGTGGTCCGTTTATTGGGTGTAATTCACCTGGAAAGCTCTCTGTGGCGAGCTGAGAGTGCAGTTAAACTGCTCAGCAGCTCTGTCAACTGTTTTTGTGATGATCACAGAATTAGAGAGGATACTGTAGTCATCCAGCCCTGCTCTTTCATAGACTCACTGTAATAAAGTGTTTTAAGACACTAGAGGAATATAGGATTAACCTGTTGCTCTGGTAAACATTAACTGAGTGTGGCAGGGAACTGTCTCTGTGGTAGTATTTAAGTAGCCTGGTCCCAGATCTGTTTGGGCTGCCAATAGGAGTTGGCAAGGCAGCACAAACAGATCAAGGACCAGGCTAGTATTTCAGTGTGTGCGGGACCTGTCTTCTGACCTTTGACCTCCCCTCTCTCTACCATGCAGGTGTGGTGACCCTCAGTCCGAGTGCGCTAAGTCGACCCATGCAGAGGAAGCTGGTGACACTGGTCAACTGCCAGCTGGTAGAAGAGGAGGGGCGTGTACGTGCGGTGCGGGCGGGCCGGTCTCTAGGGGAACGTACCGTCACAGAGCTCATCCTGCAGCACCAGAACCCACAGCAGCTCTCTGCCAACCTGTGGGCCGCCGTAAGGGCACGGGGATGCCAGTTCCTGGGGCCTGGTGAGTGGTGACTGGATAATACACCTGTCAATCATATCAACTGATGATAATACACCTGTCAATCACATGATGAACTGATCTGTTTTGTGAATGAGTGATATCCGTAAGGTTTGCTATGAGCTGTTGAACCTCATATAGACTGGTGTCTTATGATGATTACTCATAGGGCAGATTCTGATTGGGGGAACTCTGTTTCTCACACCTGATCTGAGTTTTGAGTTTCAAGTCTGAAGACACATTACATTTACATTTGAGTCATTTAGCAGACGCTCTTATCCAGAGCGACTTACAGTTAGTGAGTGCATACATTTTTCATACTGGACCCCCGTGGGAATCGAACCCACAACCATGGCGTTGCAAGTGCCATGCTCTACCAACTGAGCTACAGGAGGCCTGTAGACACCAATGGAATTGCCAATAGAACACCCACCCTGGCATTCAATATTATAATCTCCCCATCCCCTCTTACTGTAGTGACATTAGGCTGATGTATCAGATGTTATCTACTAGTATGTACTATCAGATATCTTGCGTTCTAGTACTACAGTACTATGTAATTTGTGTATAATAAAAGTTGTCTGTATCGTCATCCAGCGATGCAGGAGGATGCTCTAAAGCTGGTGTTGCTGGCTCTAGAGGAAGGCTCAGCTTTGTCCAGGAAGGTGCTGGTGCTGTTTGTGGTCCAGAAGCTGGAGGCTAGGTTCCCTCAGGCCTCCAAGACCTCCATTGGACACGTAGTCCAACTGCTCTACAGAGCCTCCTGCTTTAAGGTAAGACATATTGTATTGTATATTATGTTGTATATTGTATGTAATGTTTGCGCTCACATGCATGTATGATGCACTCACACACACACGCACGCGCACGCACACACACACACACACACACACACTATAGGGATGATAAAGAGGACACTGATTCAGCGGTTTCACCTAAGTGCTATAAAACGATAACTTTATCTTACTTACACTGCTATAGACATCAATACACACTATGCTGTACCACCAATCACATTTGATTAATGAACCACACTTACGTAAGAGTGACTCTGTCTGCCATCTTCTGCCTCTGGCACTTATGATGCCCAGCAGTGGAAAAACCTTCTGAGTGTCACTTACCATGTGCACAGATGGTGTTCCTGAATGTCTCTAAGAGATAAAAAAAAATAACAGATCTTTGGTTTAGATGTAAATAGCCAATTATGGCAAATTAGCTGAGAATGGAAACACATTAAACGACTCAAAATGGTCCTCTCCATACTCAATGAATGTCTGAAAACTCCAAGTGATAGAAAAAAACAGTCTGCTGGTGACAAGGAAGTGTGTGTGTGTGTGTGTGTGTGTGTCTGTGCGTGTGTGTGTGTGTGTGTGCGTGTGTGTATGTGACAGTGTTGTCATTTGGAGATGAGAGACAGGCAGGCAGGCAGGCAGGCAGACAGACAGACAGACAGACAGACAGACAGACAGACAGACAGACAGACAGACAGACAGACAGACAGACAGACAGACAGACAGACAGACAGACAGACATACAGACAGACAGACAGACAGACAGACACAGACAGACAGACAGACACAGACAGACAGACAGACAGACAGACAGACAGACAGACAGACAGACAGACAGACAGACAGACAGACAGAAGACACAGGTCTGTTTTAGCTGCAAGGGTCCTAAGATAGAGATACACACACATTTATGAACATACTGTACATCCTCACATTAATATACTTATACTTTTGATTTCACATAACACTGGCCTGGTGTCTTATGATGATTACTCATAGGGCAGATTCTGAGTGGGGGAACTCTGTTTCTCACACGTGATCTGAGTTTTGAGTTTCGAGTCTGAGGACACCTGGCAAATGTCTGCCAGTCATATGAGAGTGATGCAATGACATTTAGGCTGGCTGGATGTTTTTCTCTGAGCATATCACAGTATATCACAACTGTATGGCCTCCCCCTCTCCCCTCCTCTCCTCTATCCCCTCCCTCCCTCCCCTATCCTCCCCCTCCCTCCCCGCCCCAGGTGACAAAGCGTGACGAGGACTCGTCGCTGATGCAGCTAAAGGAGGAGTTCCGTACCTATGAGGCGCTGCGCCGCGAGCACGACGCCCAGATCGTACACATCGCCATGGAGGCGGGGCTCCGTATCTCACCTGAGCAGTGGTCCTCTCTGCTCTACGGAGACCTCATCCACAAGTCACACATGCAGTCTATCATTGATAAGGTATGCTGCCTGTGTCCCCATCACTGTATCACTTAGCTCATCATACTAATCAGTCAATCATCGCCAAAGTACTATACAGCCCTCCATTTTTCACTTATGAGATTCGAGATCAATGGGTACTGGACAGCTTCCTGACTCATGTGCTTCAAGATCAACATCCCTTATCTCACTCACTGACTAATACCTCATTCAGTCAGTGGTTGACAAGGCAACCATCTCTGCCATCCCAACATTTTACCTTTGTATGCTGCATTACTATGACATACTGCACTTGCTTTCTCCCTGTAAGATACTCTAAATGGCCATACATGTATACATCCCTACACATCCCTTTTTCTCTCTCTCTTGGGTTGGTGGTCACTCCCCCAGCTCCAGTCCCCAGAGTCCTTTGCTAAGAGTGTCCAGGAGCTGATTATAGTTCTACAGAGAACAGGAGACCCTGCTAACCTGAACAGCCTCCGACCACACCTGGAACTACTGGCCAACATCGACCACAACCCAGGTAGATACAGTACGATCAAGCCACAACTTTGAGGTCAGGGCCTAGAGAACCTAGCAGCTTCCCCAGGCAGCTCACTTTAGGTTTAGACCATCATAATGTTAATGATAGGACTGGACAGAAGAGGTAATATGGTAATACGTTATTGATGCATTGTACTGATGCACTGTACTGTGACACCCTAGACTCGTTGATATGTAAAGACATGGGCTGTGAGACAGGTGTGTTCTGTATATCTGTTGTATGTGTTTGTGGGTTTTGTGGGTTTGTTTAGATGCTACAGACACCTAGTATTGTTTAGAAACAACTAGATAGGGATGTTGATATCTGATGTGTGTGCCATGTTGTGTGTAGATGCGACGTCTCCATCGTGGGAAGAGCTGGAGAGTGTGATGCTGGCTGTGAAGGTGATGGTCGATGGTCTGGTGGAGTTTATACAGAACTTCAGTAAGAAGAGCCACGAGACACCACAGGTACGGGAGCTGACAGCACTCACACCTACACACACACACGCACGTACGCGAACACACACACCTCTCTTTACTGTAATAACACCTGTGAAATATGCAAACAAAATAAACCTGTCTGATATACTGCAGTCCATTTGACTAACTCTTGGGTTTACTGTTGTGAGTGACATGCTGTCTGTTTTTGTCCGTCTCCTCCCCATGCAGCCACAGCCCAACAGCAAGTATAAGACTAGTATGTGTCGAGACCTCCGGCAGCAGGGGGGTTGTCCTCGAGGATCCAACTGCACCTTCGCACACACACAGGACGAGCTAGAGAAGTGAGTGAGAACACAACCACACTAATTTGCATATGATGAGACACAGACCTCTGTTCTTATCAATGCTTTCCTGTGAACAAACGTTTAAACGAACGAAAAGCAGGGGTGGAGAGAAAACAAGAGAGAAAGCAAGAGCGAGGGGCGAGAGAGAGAGAGAGAGCGAGCCGAGAGAGAGAGCGAGAGAGCAGGAGCGAGGAGAAAAAAAAAGAAGGAGAGAAAGCACGAGAGAGAGCGCGAGAGAGGAGCAGAGGAGAGGAGAGAAAGCGAAGGAGAGAGAGAGAGAGACAATGAGAGATGAGTAGAGAGCGAGAGAGAAGAGAGAGAGAGTAGAGCGAGACGAGAGCGAGAGGCCTTCAGAGGGAGAGAGAGAGAGAAAGAGCGAAGTCTCTCTGTCTCTCTACGTCTTCTTTAGAGTCTAGTCTCTCTCTAGAGAGTGGCTCTCTCGCTCTTCATCTCTCCGCTATCTAAATCTCTCTCTCTCTCTCTCTCTACTCGCTCTCTCTCTCCCCCCCCCCTCTCCAAGGTACAGAATGAGAAACAAGAAGATCAGTGGCGTAGGCCGGTCCTTCCCCCTAGCCCAGGGGAGTATGGGTAGTGAGGGAGGCGACTCAGGAGAGGAGGCGTGCGCTGGGGGACTAAAGGGCTCAGACAAGGTGGGGTTGGGGTCCCTAACGGAGCGGTCCACACACCCCCAGCTCATCCCCAGGGGAGGCGACATGATGGAAGAGATGAAGAGGGAGAGGTCTGTTCTTAACGGATCCAATGGATTCACAGGCTCCAGCCGCTCCTCATCTGGCTCTATGGAACAGTAAGACACTTTCACTTACTGACTGTGGTTTCACCTACTGACTGTGGTTTTCACCTACTGTGTATCGTTATTCATGATGATGACTCACCACTGAATGAGTATTAAACATTAAAGCTGAAAGTGGGATGTTTCAGCTGGCTTTAATGTGTAATCTGGATTTAGCGAGACCTGTTGTATCTCTAGTCTGACATCCTCTCTCTCTCTCTCTCTCTCTCTCTCTCTCTCTCTCTCTCTCTCTCTCTCTCTCTCTCTCTCTCTCTCTCTCTCTCTCTCTCTCTCTCTATCAGGAAGTCTGTTTCTCCTCCAAAGACACCTGTCAACCACTCCTCAGCTCCTTCTCCCCATGGAATGGGGTCTAGGGTAGAGTGTGGCTCTGGTCATCCCAAACAAGGGCACTTCCTAATGAGAGGACCCCCTCCCCAGCCTCCTCCCCACCAGCCTCAGTCCTCTGAACTGTACTACCAGGACCCCCGACCTCCCTACGACACACAGCCCTACCAGCCAGCCAGTGAGTAGAGCCATGGCACCACATTTCAGAGACAGTGTTTATATAATTAAATTAACAGAGGCAAAACACAATAATCAGCAACTCAGATAACACTGACTGTTAGATAGTGCTGGATTTAGTTAACTGCTCATTTGCATTTGTGTCAGTCATTCTATTCAACACTTTTTATTATTGCTTTTTAATGAATGCAACATAGAAGTGAAGTGATTCAATCTTTCATTTGTTCCTGGGCCTTTTTGTATACTCTTTCATCATTGAAATACTGTTTAAAACAACCTTTTCTAGACTCAATGATGTTCTCTGTCCCTCCCTGCTCCTCTAGGTAACTACTACACCTCTACAATGCACCCCCACAAACCCTGCATGGCCCGCTTCCTGCGTTCCAGCCACGTCCTCGAGTCCTCTCTGCCGCCTTCCATGGCCCCTCCGTACTCCGAGCAGCACCCCTCCTTCCCCCAACCACGGGAGCGCGCGGGTCCTTCTCCCTACGGCCCCCCACCGGCCCCCCAGTACGGGCCCCTGGCCCCGGCCCATGGTGGCTACGCCCCACTGTATGACAGCCGGCGTATATGGAGGCCCCAGCTGTACCACCGTGAGGATGCCAGGAGTAACTCCCTGCCTCCAGAGGTGCTGCACTCCTCTGTGTACCAGCCCCCCCTCCGAGAGCGCTATGCCTCCCTGGACAGCCCCTACTGCTCAGCAGGAGAGCACAGAGCAGCGCTACACAGGGTACGGGTACAGTATAGCCGCCTTCACACACATGCTCCAGCCACCACCTCCACATGCACACTCCTTAACACGGCTAGCTTTATCATGTCTTTCCCATCCTCCTGCCTCTCCTCCCACTCAGCTCAGCAAACTCATTCTCACCCACATCTTCTCTTCCTCCTCCTCCGCCCTTACATATCCTTATCATTCGACATTTGAAGGCTATGATTAAGTTTGTTGTGTGTGTATGGTTACATGGGGGAAACTCTCACCCAATCCAAACCTTTTTAGGGGGAAGGAACTAGAATGGGGACGAGAGGAGAGCAAGAAGAGAGAGAGAGATAGAGGAGAGGAGACAGATGCGAGACTAAGATGGTAGGAGTGAGCGAGTACGAGTCTCTGCTATTGCGAGATTGAGATATGCGCGTAGACGAGGATCTTGCTCTATCATCTCTCTCGTCTCTTCTCTATACTCTCTCTCGCTATCTCTTCTCTCAGGACTTGATGGGCGTGTGTCCTCTTGGATACGAGGATCTGTTCAAGCGGAAACAGGAGCAATGGGCACACCATCACCACGTCAACATGAACAGGTCCTCCCAGTCCTCCCCCGTCTTCACCGTAGACTTTGGTGCAGAGGTACGTAGGCCTGCACGCACGCAGAGTGTGTTTGTGCATACATTATGAGAGAGAGAGAGAGGCATAGAATGACAGTTTGTGCATAGAACAAGAGTGAATGGCATACTATAATCAGTTTTATCCACTCTTTTGCCCCATGAAATCAAGGTCTAGAAATGCTCACAAATACAGTACTGTATATGTTGTTTGTGTGGGTTTTTGATTCTGGTCCAAAATATGTGTTGAATACAAAGCTATTTTAGAGTGTGACTGTTGCTGGGCAACTGGTAGCTAAAGCATAGGTAGTCGCAGTATGTTTTTTGGAGTCCTCTGGGAGAGACAAAAGCAACGAATTAATTCAAGAAAGGAGAAAAAGGGAAAAGGGGGGGGGAAAAGGAGGAGAAGAAGGAGAAGAAAGAAGGAAGGGAAGCAGAGAGAAGAGAGAGAAGAGAGAGAGAGAGAGAGACGAGAGAGAGAGAAAAGAGAAAGAGAAAGAGAAGAGAGAGAGAGAAAGAGAAAGAGAAGAGAAATGGAAAGAGAAAGAGAAAGGAGAAGATGGAGAGAGAGAGAGAGAAGAGAGAGAGAGAGAGAGAGAGAGAGAGAGAGAGAGAGAGAGAGAGAAAGCAGCAGAGAAAAAAAAAAAGAAAAAATAAACAAACAGAAAGAGAAGCGAGAGTAGGTAGGTAGAGAGGCAGCTGAGGCCACGTCTCGCACTAAATCTCCTTCCCTCTCTCTCTCTCTCTCTTGATCTCTCGATCTCTCACTTCCCTTCCCATCCTCCCTCCCTCCCTCCCCTCTCTCTCTATCAGCATGACAGTGGAGGTGATCAGTGTATGAACTGTAAGTACCGTGGAGAGGAGAGTCTGGCCCACTACTCTCCCTGGTCCTGTGGAACCATCAGTACCTGCATCAGCCCCTTTGAACCAGAGCATCACAACGCCTCAGCTCACTCCTGCTCCCAACACTCAGTGAGTCTAACCACATACACACGCACACGCTTGTAAAAAACTAAACATAAATCAACTCATATATCAACCACACACCCTCTTAGAAACAAAACTATATATCAACTCAGACTCATATTAATAAGCCCTAACGAACATAACAACATGACAAACACATTTTAGTGGGTACTGTACATCATGATGACTCATTGTCTCCACATTGAAGTATGGCTTGGAAAAAGTAATCAAATAGAAAGCTCAACCTAAAAGTTGAGAGAAATAATTAGTATGTATGTTCTTATGTAATGACTGTGACAAACACTAGTGCAACTTCCAATGACTTAACTATATCAAATGCTGTATCTTCCAGGCAGTAGATAATGGTGAAGGGAAACGGTGGCTACACACATTTGAGCCGTACCGCCGTCTGAAAGACGAGGACCCCATCATCCCATTTGGAGAGGGACCCATCATCTCTAAATGGGGGGCTATCTCCCGCGCCTCCCGTACAGGGTACCACACCACTGACCCTGTCCAGGCCACAGCCTGCCAGAGAAGCAACAGCACCACCCCCATCAACTTCAGAGGTGAGGAGGGGATAGTGGTGGCTAGGCTTTAGCTTAGTGGGTTAATACACTGTTCTGACAGACAGGAAACCTGGGTTCAAACCTTTCGGTTACAGTGGGGAAAAAGATCTAACATGCAGAAGTAAAATGTTGCCCCTAATTTTGACTTCTTGTCAATTCTGCTATACCATTTGACTTGTGATCACTTTGATTGTGTGTACTGAGTGGAACAGACACCTGGAGTGAAATGACAGCAGTAGTTATGAATTAAGAAAGTTATTCCATGTTAATACCAACAACGATTTTTATTTATGATTCATTTGTAATTTAATGTAATGAATGTGGAATATTATGCTCAGAAAGAAATACACTATATATACAAAAGTATGTGGACACCCCTTCAAATTAGTGGATTCGGCTATTTCAGCCACATCCGTTGCTGACAGGTATATTAAATCGAGCACACAGTCATGGAATCTCCATGTGACAAACATTGGCAGTAGAATGACCTTACTGAAGAGCTCAGTGACTTTCAACGTGGCACCGTCATAAGATGCCACCTTTCCAACAAGTCAATTTGTCAAATTTCTGTCCTGCTAGAGCTGCCCGGTCAACTGTTAGTGCTGTTATTGTGAAGTGGAAACGTCTAGGAGCAACAACGGCCCAGCCGCGAAGTGGTAGGCCACACAAGCTCACAGAACGGGACCGCTGAGTGTTGAAGAGTGTTGAACCTCAACCCCATCGAACAACTTTGGGATGAATATGAACGCTGACTGCGAGCCAGCCATAATCGCCCAACATCAGTGCCCGACCTCAGTAATGCTCTTGTGGCTGAATGGAAGCAAGTCCCCGCAGCAATGTTCCAACATCTAGTGGAAAGCCTTCCCAGAAGAGTGGAGGCTGTTATAGCAGCAAAGTGGGGACAAACTCTATATTAATGCCCATGATTTTGGAATGAGATGTTCGATGACCAGGTGTCCACATACTTTTTGTCAAGTAGTGTATCTTCAATTCCAGAGAGGTGCAGAGCTCGCTCGGACCGGCTGCTACGGTAGCACAGAGCAGAATCGTCTTAACATGTGGAGGGATTATTATAATGTGAATATAAATGAAAGTTGTCTTTCATCTCCAGGCGAGGCTCTGAATGCACCCAGGCTCTCTGCAGACTCAGTGGAGGCCGATTCATTGCAGTATTCAGTTCAGCATCGTTTTCAAAAGGGTGGGGAAATACATTGTTATAGGTTGCTCAATGTTATTATTCTAAATCTACGGTTATTTCTATTCCAGATTATGGTCCACACATCGGTCACGGTGACTACAGGTGGAGCTCCCGTGGGTCTGACTCATCCAGCCACTCAAGTTTCCTAGAGAGGTACAGTATAGACTCTGTACCATACTATACTCTACTGTACCATACTATACTCTACTCTACTGTACTATACTATACTATACTATACTATACTATACTATACTCTACTCTACTCTACTCTACTCTACTCTACTCTACTGTACTGTACTGTACCATACTATACTCTACTCTACTCTACTCTACTGTACTATACTATACTATACTATACTGTACTGTACTGTACTATACTATACTATACTATACTATACTATACTATACTATACTATACTATACTATAATATACTATACTATACTATACTATACTGTACTATACTATACTCTACTCTACTGTACTATACTTTATACCATATCTCATCATCCCTTTCTCTCTTCCCCCTAAACATTGTCCTGTTTTATTTTATTTCTGTCTTTTTTAGTGTTCGTTTTACTTCAATGTCCTCCTGTATGTTTGCAGCTGAGCGTTTGCTTGCTCGCCATGCATGTGTAGGAGGTGTTGTTTTCTTACCCTCTTCTCTCCTCCTCCTCCTCTCTCATTGTGCTGCAGTCGGTTTCCTTTTCTCTCTCCTTAGACTATAAATAGAGCGGCTCTCTAAGCTCTCTGCTTGTATGCTGCCTGTTCACGATCTGACTCTGACTTACAGTCTCTCTGTGTATTTGATTGGAGTGGGGAATCTAGTCCTATGTACTCCACAAGTCTCTCTCTTTACTGTCAGTACATCAGCTATTTACATAATTTCACTCAGAATACACATTAAATAACAGTACAGTATAACAGTATAACATTACAGTATAAAGGCACTGTTTTACTGTAATGTTGGATATCTGAAGCAGCACATACAGTTATTTCAAATTGCCACTTTCTCTGTGTGTCCACAGTGACCAGCTGGGAGTGTGTGAGCTTGCCGCCCGTGAGCGCTCCTTCAGCAGTGGAGAGAAGGCTGGTGCAGGAGACCTGCTGCAGACTGACTACTGTAAGGACACGACAGAGAGCGAACCGGACAGAGACATTGAGCTGGAGCTGTCTGTACTAGACATGGAGGACAGTGACATGCAGGACAACAGTCAACAATCTGAGGTGCAGTGAAGTCTTTATGGCTGCGTTTACACAGGCAGTCCAATTCTGATATTTTTTCCACAAATTGGTCTTTTGACCAATCACATCAGATATTTTCACATCAGATCTTTTTCAGATCGCATTGGTCAAGAGACAAGAATTGACAGAATTCGGCTGCCTGTGTAAACGCAGCCAATGTCCTCTTAATGTGTCTGATTGATTGATTGATTGATTGGTTGATTGATAATGTGTCTCTTTACTCCTAAGGGAGGATCTGTGTGGGAACTGTAATGTGGAACAATGGTACAGCACGGGCTTGAGTGATGTCATCTCTGTGCGACTGCTTTTCTATTACATCACTGACTGACTTCTTATCTGGATGTCCTAGGAGTCCCTTGAGCTGAGGGACCCCCACCTCCTCACCCCTCCCAGCAGTGAACCCCAGAGGAGCCAGACAGACAAGCTGTCCGCTGACAAGATGGAGGCTCACCTGCTGAAGAAAATGGCCTTCAGGTGAGCTGGGTCAACAACTAACCTCGCCTCAACCAGTGTCTGGCAACACAAGACTAATAAACACTAAACACACCAGTAGCAAGGCTGAATATTGATGTGGTCCTTACCTCATCTAGGACATTCAATTAAATTAAATCAACTTTATTTATCCCCAAGGAGCAATTATTTTTGGCAAGCATGGTCATAACATGGTCATAACATGGTCATACACACATCACATACACTTGGGTGAGAAAACTTGGCATAAAATAAACATTTGTTCCCTTACTGCAGCTTCTCTGTTACTGTCAAGGAATATAAAATAGATCTCTTCTATTTCTTGTTCACTGATCGGAGCCCATATTGTACCTCTGTGTTCCAGGAAGTCTCTCTCCCCTGGTGGTCTGGGCTCAGGAGGCCTCAGTGTGGGGAAGCTGATGATGAGGACCGGCCCTCCAAGGCTGGGGGACATGGGCCCTCGCCCCAACACAGGCCCTGAGATGCTTCTCAACGGGAGTTGAGAGGGCAGAAACACCCCACCGCCATGCCCGGGGGTCCCGACCCAGTGCTACACAGCTTCTACAGCTGCTGTCACAGTCACATCTTAGGGTTGTATAGACCTGTATCATTAGACAGCGATCAGGTCTCACCCCCATAATATCACTAGTCAAAGGGTGCATGCTGTACAGTATGCTCCTTTAGACGACAGGTAGAGTCGTTTTCGAACATGACAAAGAGATACCTTTGGTTTAGACACAAACACCAATAGGCTCCATCACATTTCCTATTTTCTCACCCGGCAGGGTTTTCAATCATTTGGTTTCTTGTTTTTTTTGTTCTTGGTTTTGATCAGATGTTTGTTTGTGTGCGCTGCTCGCTCTCCACTGACTTTAGGGATTATGATGATGGTGTTTAAAATGCTTCATATGGCATCCAATAGTCTTCTATTCATTAGTTCTACAATGTTTCCAAGGTAACGAAGGTGCTCAGCACTATTGGGTGTAAAGGCTATCAGCATCTGTTGACGTTGGATGATAACTTTAACAATACAATACTATGTATCTGTAGTCATAGGAATAATATTTGCATGTAGAAAATTACAAGTCTTTACTTTCAAAAGGATAGTGCTAATTGAACAGGGTTTTTAGGTCATGAAAGAGGTTAAAAGTTGAACAGGAAGAAATGACAGATACCAACACAAGATGTTGCTTTCCTCTAGTCCAACTCTCATCTACTTTAGACACTGTAGTAGCCTTTCAACTGTACCTAAGGCTTGGCTGTTTTACCCTGTATGCAGTATCATTTGTTGGTCTCAAGCATTTCATAGACGAGATTCAAGATGATGACGATCAATCAGATATCTCACCGATGTCACCGCTGTCACGTGTATGCACAATTGTGGCCTTTCTTTTTTAGCTGTTTGTAAAATATCCCCTTATATTTAGGCCTAGCCATCGGGTTAATTCATGGAAAACACCAAGAAGTGCAACATGTATCAACAATCCTAAATATGATCAACAGATGGCACCATAATTTCTTGCTATAGTCTGAGCAACTGCATCCAGTGATTGAATCGTACTGATCTACTGCATATGAAATAATAGGTCATACTGACATTTATCTGTGCACTGGAATCTCATGACATATCAGCTCTTTTTGGTTCTGTGCATCAAACTCATAACCTGTGTTTACTATAACAGAGGATCTTCAAATCACCAGGCGAATCTAGTGTTCCTTCATGCTGTCTTTGTTTTGTCTCTGGTCTAACTTTTTACAAATCTGTTTCGTTTTTGTTTTCTTTGAAGCATTGCTAACTTCCGTGAAGTTGTTTGTCGAAATATTTTGTATCAGGATCTCTGTTTTGTTTATTTATTTTTATTTTTAAGAAATGAAACCAATTCATCAGTCTGTCTCTATGTTCATGTTTTGAGCAGGGTTGTTCCTGCTGGTCAACGGTCAAACCAATACAGTCCATCATCGTTTTGTGATCGCTATAAATGGTCATGCATTGTCCTAAAAGGGTCAGTGTTATTTTACTGCAGTTTTGTGCACTGAACGTTCTGTTTGCTGTCTTCTCCTGCCTGTGGGGGTGAAGAGATTCGGGTGATGCTATGTGTTACAGCACTTAGGAAAACTCTCCTATTTATAATAGGGTTAATTTTTTTACGGTCTGAAAGGAGGCAGATAGTAGTGAGTGAGACACAACTTGACCAGCGCTTCCTAACCCTTAAGGACTGCCCTACAGACATGCAGTCATACAGTATATTCCCTCTCTCACAAGGACTGTCGATGGTCAATACATTGTAAGCCTACTGTAAGCATTACTCGCCTAATATATGTATGTTGTTTGTTTCCCTGATCCTGTTTAAGCTCAACAGGGCCCTTTGGTGGGCACACATAGGAGGTCTGGCCCTAAAGGAGACATGGCAGCGGTCAGGGCGTCTCTTAAGGTTTAGATCTGGTCAAATTGAAGGGTAGTATGGTGTTGTGATTATAGGCTGCTCTGCCTCCTGTAGTTCAGGTTTGTTCCAGCAGGGAGTACTAGAGCCCAGTCTCTGCAGCCCTCAGGGAGGAGTTCTATTGCTAAGCTACTGATCTGATCGCATCTTCAGCACTGAATATAATGGGTGATGAGCGCAAATATTTACATTAATAATCTTGTTTAATGTAACTTTTCACCACATAAATGTGTTCAAGGAGGGATTTATCATTTTGCTGTAATGTTTATTTTCTTTGTTTTTATTCTTTACCAATATTTGTATTATAACCCTGGTGGGAAGGGGTTGGGTACAATAAAAACAGTCTTTGGAATTATGTAGATAGAATGAGTCCCCTGTGTGTTCCAGTGCCTGTCTAATGAAGCACTGGTGTAAGGATCTGATCGCACCGCACTTCCCACCCCATCACTGCCAGATGTTCTTACTACCCACTATTCAGCCAGTGTAACCCTACACCCCCAGGTCATGCATGCTAGTCCCTCTTGTTGTTATGGCGAAGGAGGAATGATTCTGTAGTTGTGATACAACACACCCAGCGCTGTAAGTGTTCTGCACATGCCCACTGTGTGGCCACGCCAAATATTGTAGTCTGCCTGCAGGATTTTACTGTTTACTGCTTCTGAAATGCTTTAATATTGATTATGATCAATGTATTATTATTATTAATATTATTATTATTATTATTATTACTTACTACCATCATTGGTTGTGTTGTAGTATTTTTCTCTGGATGTAGTATTTTTCTGCTTCTTCAGTAGAATTTTTAAAATTTGCTGAATAGTTAACAACGTTAGCCAAGAATGGTCTAATGTAAGGGGGAAACATTTGCCTGTTTGTCAATTGTACAACTATGATGGAACTGATTTATGTCTGTATTAGACATTTTCTTTGCAAATCTATTGTTCGATTGAAATTGAAATGAAATAAAAGATGGTACACACAGCCATCATTATTGTATACAGCTGGCACCATCGTTAGATGGACTTACTGCTCATTTACAACAATATGTAATCAGATATTTAAATAAATATTGTTATAGAGGGACAAATAAATGTTTCAGAATGAGGGAACCTAAAAATGTCCACATACATGAATAATATGTATTCCATTTATTTCATTTGAAATATCACTTTGTGAAAGGTTTCCTTTCTCTTATCTAATGGCATTGCAAGGCGGGTTTGGTTTGGTCTGATGTATGTTTTCAGATGTGACCAGCCAATTGCCTGACTTGTTGATTCTCTTTGTTTCCTGTTTGCTCTTTCACTGACAGCGTGGCCAAGCAGAATACTCTGATACTATTTGGATGAATCAGTATTACCTGTGAAATCAGAGGGAGATGTCAGTACCTGAAACATTGCATGCTAAAATAAAGGAAAAACCAAACTGTCCTGTTTCAACTGATTTGTGATCAAGTGCAAGTGTGAATGACACCGTGGCGCCATCTTGTGGTCTTTGGTGGGCTGTGACTATTCAGTTTCATGTGCTACGGTTACCTGATACCTATCCTACTCACTTTCCCTCCAGCTTTAGTTAAACAGAATATGTCAGAGGTAGATACAAACTTTTCTGATGTAACATTTCACACTCTTTAGTGCAGGAACATGATGAAACAATACTTGATATTTTGGTGTTGCAAAACCTGCAAGACCTGCATTTTGATTCTGACACAATGTTTCCTCAGGGTTAGGGGACCAGTGGGGAGTTCCACAGATATGCAACAGGAACCATATGTTCATCATCCACCTTTAATGGTGAAACCCTGATCTTTACCAAATTTCCATCGCAGGTTCACTAGTATGACAACCCCACCACTCTTGTCAAGTGGGCGCAACAGTGTCTCTACTTTCTTAGGCGGCTGAAGAAATTCGGCATGCCACCCCGAGTCCTCTCCAAATACTACCGCTACACCATCGAGAGCGTCCTGACCGATTGCATCACATACGGGAATTGCTCCGTCTATGACCGTAAGGCCCTCCAGAGGTTGGTGAAGACTGCCCAGTACATCACTGTGCTCCCACCCATCCAGAACATCTACTCAAAACGCTGCCTGAGGAAGGCCCGCTGCATCATCAAGGACCCCACACACCCCAACCACAAACTGTTCACTCCCTTACCTCTTGCAGACGTATTGTATCATTGTAGCATGAGGTCTGATACCAACAGGGTCAAAGACAGTTTCTATCTACAAGCTATCAGACTGCTGAACACTTGAACTGGACTGACCACCTGCACTGACTCTCCACACCTTAGCACACATGCACTCACTCATGCACACACCCACACAGACATACACACACACACACACATCACAACTGCTGCTACCAGACTCGTATTACTGTTGCTAAATACTGCACAATTTAAACACTTGTCCTCCAATCCCCCCTTCCCCCAAAACACATGTAAATATTGAAGAACACCATGGTAACGATAGTTACCGGAGTTGTAACTCCAGTTCTATGAGTGGAGCTCCGTCCCATAGTGGAGCTCTGCTCCTATTGGTTTACCCCGCTGCCTAGGCAGCGAACAGCCTGTGACAAAATAATGCACCTACCTGCAGCCAATAGGAGTACAGGTGTCCCTATAAGAGGGGACGCTTCCCCTCAATCAGCCTCCGAGAAATTATCTTCAGCGAGACTGGAGGGTGGGCAGGGCCTTAAGTCCTATGGGGCACAGCTCCACTCATAGAACTGGAGTTACAACTCCGGTAACTATCGTTCTATATCTTGGAGCTCCGCCCCATAGGGGAGCTCTGCTCCTATTGGTTTAAGGCGGAGCGCAACGCTCCAAAATGTACTCCCTGCCAAGCCCAACACTTCCCACTTAAATGAAAAGGTCGGGCCTAGCAATGGCTGCGACCAAGTCCCACAGTACTGTGACACACTGTGTCACAATATACTGTGTCCTCGGTACAAATCCGCCCTACCTAGTCCAATGGCATTGCCAATGTCTAGTGGGCAGATAACCAGAATATGAGCCATACTAAGCTGAACCAGCAGATAGATGGTACCTCAATATCCTGTTAA